GATTGGAGCTCCCTCCATCTTGTGGGGAGGGGAGCTCCAATACACCTACTCTACCCTCCAACACTCCTAGACTGAACTCTCTCTGCTCCCTTTCCCCACTCCCATTCTGAAAACATGTAATGAGGGTTCAGATTTTCATGAGATTGGGCCCTTTTAAAGGGGCTGCTGCTGCCACTGCAGGCTGGGGCTGGGGGTGGCACTAGGCTTTTCTTGGCAGGGGAGTTGGGCAAGAGCTGTGCTGGGGGTGGGTGGTGGCGGTGCTGGGAGAGGGGGCTACACCGTGGTTATGGCAAATTCTGGGGTGGCCACAGCCCACTATGTAGCCCCCTTACCCCAGTGCTGCTGCTGCCCAGCCCAAGCACAGCCCTGGCCCAGCCCTCTCACTGGGAAGAGCCCAGCACCTGCCCCAGCCCACAGTGGCAGCCTACCTTCATCCTGCACACTAATCTGGGGGCCAGACTCTCCCCATGGCTCCCCTAGGTGTGCATATAGAGGCAGGATCTGCCAACTATCTCCCCGCGGCCCCCAGATAAGCCTCTTGCAGCTCCATCCTGTCCTCTACCTTGGCTGGGAATGCCTGTCCGAGCCCCAGCTCCCCTCACCACAAGGGCCTTGCTCAGTGCCCCCCCCACCCCTTTCCTTCCCCATGCCCCCCAAAAGACTTACCATCTGACCCCCCCACCCCTTTGTTCCCCCATGCTCCCCCATTCCCCACAAAAGACTTACCACCTGACCCTGTTCCCCAAGCTGTTCTGCTGCATATCACCAGTTGGATTGGTATTGGCTGATATGGCTTGTTAATAATCAGCCATCGATACTGACCCAAAAAATCTTTATCAGTCCACCCCTAATATAAACCTTGTCGCAATTCAGAATGGTGCATGGAAGCACCTAAACTCCACCTCCACTCCTGAGCAGCCACCCTCTGTTAGGCATGGTGGAGCAAACCTAGATTTAATAGTATCAGAGTTATTTCAAAGGCTAGGGACAGAGATTACACAAACCTGTTTAAGTTATCAGAAACTGGTTTAAACCTGTAACAGAACAGATGTCCAGTGAACATAAACCAGTTTGAAAATGGTTGAAACCAGTTTGAGATAAACCTGGTTGAATGTAGTATCAGTCTTAACTGATTTGGGTCAAATTGGTTTATGGGATGTTGTCGTAGGGCACTGAAGTGCCTGCTCCTTTAAGAGCAGAAACTGCCTAGGGAGAGGGCCCTAGGAGCCAGACAGAAATCCCCTTAGGTGTAGGTTACTATGGCAGCAGGCTAACAAGGGAATTAGCCTGCACTTGGTCAGCTGACCCAAAGAAGGCAGGGCCCTGGGCGCACACAAACCCCAGGGCCGAGGCCAGCAGGGGTTAGTTCTCTGGCAGTAGCCAGGGGAAAGAGCGTCCAGGGATGAATTGCCCAGAGACGTTGGTGGCTGCCTGATATGCTGCCTGTCAGCCTAATGGAGCTCCAGGAGCTCACCAGGTACCCTGGGCTACTAGGCACTTAAGGCTTGGGTGGAAGTTTGACTCTTTTAAAGAGACAAAGTGTACCCTGAACTGGTTGTATTATGTTATAGCCCAGGGGCTCATATTTTGGTTGTTGTTTATAAACCAGTGGACCAGACTGAGGCTACTGGGGGAGGAGGAGGCCTTATTGGTGCTCACTACAGTGTGGAGACCCCAGCGCCAGGGGACATGCTGACAAAGCGGGTAAGCAGACCCCAGCACTAGGGGGCATAGTGACAAGAGCAGAGTCCAGTGCCAGGGGACGCACAGATGACAGGGCTGTGGTGAGCCCAGCAATGACAGGAGGCTGAGCTAGACTAAGGCCTCAGACGGACAACATTTGAATGCCACCTGTGAGGCTTGGGGTGTGGTAAAGGGGCAGTTTTGGAGCCACGCATCTAGCCCATAAGGATGAGGGTGTCCCATGAGGCATCCATTT